AGCCCAGATGGACATAGAAGAACACTTCAATAAACAGTTTTCCTTTAAGCAGCGCACTAACTCGGATGGATCGGTTAACTGGGTGCTCCCTCCTGCTGATAGGATGTATACGTCTCCTGTGTGGAAGGTGGGTAAGGGTTAGGCAGTTCTGAATAAATTTGGATAGATTTATTATTTGCTGTCGATCATATTTTCTTTTTGCTTTTTTTGTGTAGGTCTTCTTTTGGAAATTTTTGAAAGAGAATATTTTCATGGCTTAAGGGATTAAATTTTTATTGTTTAGAGGAATTTTTCATTGTGTTTTTGAAAGTTATAATAAAATGTCTTGGCTGTTAGTCTTCTTCTAAGATACACAATAACAGCCACAAGAATTAAGGGGACATATGTTGATAAGCCTACATTTTCCTCGTTGTTTGCCTGTGAAAGATAACATATTGGAATTGTCATATTTTTTCTTTCTTTCTTTTTTATCCAGTTGTAGACCTTGGAATGCCCCTTATTTTGAGCTATATATATATATTTTAAAGTCATCTATCTTGAAGCTGGAAATTTGGATAAAAACTGTAGGGTATAAGGGGGCTGAATAACTTATACACCATTGTCCAAAAAGACATGAAAATAATGTGATGAAAACTACAAATCTGTAACACCAGACTTTTGTCTTTGAAGTTTGGTCATTTTCTTGTTCATTTTACTATTTTCTTTTAGTCTCTGATGCTGATGTTATATGTGGAAAGAAAGCTCTAAGTGTGTAATAAGCAAAGAAACTTGTTACCATCTGATAAGTGGTTTGGTTTATATGTATATAAAAAAATGCAGAAAGGATTACTGTAGATACTCATTCTTATCAATTTTTTAATGTACTTGTTACTTTGGAGACTTCATAATTGGAAGTCACATACAAGCCATATTTCAAGTATGCACAAGCTGTAGCAATCAAATTCTTTTCTTCTTTTTTTTTTAATTATCATTATCATTACCATCTTCATGCTTTTCTCTAATCCATTGATATCCAGTATACAGAAATAGGTTGGCCATATTCTGTAGGATCTACTAGAACAGACTGAAACTCCCCTTAACTCAGTTGCAGCCATGAGGGCCATCCAGACTTCCCTTTAACCCAAATTAACGAACACCAATGCCCTTTTCTCAGGATGACACCTTACAAGCCATGAAGATGTCACTGAATCATGTAAAAAAGCAGCTGGGTGAGAAGGACATTGCAATTTGGCATACTCACACTTGCAACACCAACCCCTCTCAGAAAATTTCTTATGCGGTTAAGCGGAGAGCACAGCCAGAGATGGTGACACAGGTGAGAACATGTAAAAGGATGTGTTGTCCTATATTTATTTGTTGTTTCATAAACCAATGATAAAACTTATAAATAAAGTCCAATCTTGAAATACCTGTTGCTTAGCTAGCTTAAACTTGTCATTTTTTACTAAACACTTTATGCTATGGTGATCCTAGCAGAATATATTTGAAAGTTGATATACTTATGATCTACTTTCTTCCAGGCATGGCTAAAATTTTATGAGATAGCGAATGCATACCCCATTGTGCCTATGGATGTAGAAGGGGAAGAGGGCCATGTGCCATTTAACTCCGTGCACTTGTGTGAGGCTCCAGGGGCCTTCATCTTGGCTCTCAACCATTACTTGGCTCTCAATAGGTGGAGTTTGAAGGTATGATTTTTTTTTAGTTTATTTGTTTGTTTTTTAAGTTGCTCATTCAGAGTTCTTTTCTCTATTATATTGTCTCACTTTTTTTTATGTGTGTTTTGATGTGTTTCATCTTATTTATATATAGAGTTTACTTCTGGTTTCCACTCCTCATAAAACTGCAATCTGACAAAATTAGTTTTTGTATTTTTCAATGTATAGATGATCAAAAGAGTGTTGGTGTAGTGAACGACAATTATAGAAATAAAGTCTCATTTTATTTTTTTGCTTGAAGGAGTGTTAACAAATGAAAGTAGTACTTTGAAAACAATAACAAATGCACAACTAGACCAGATGGTTGTGTTGCCAATATTTAGCAAGGGTTGTGCAAAAAATTCAAAGATTTGGGAAATTAGGAAGTAAAAGGAATAATTCACTTACATTTTTTCTTCTCTTTTTTTTTCTGTTTTTATTGTATTGCATTTGGTATGAAAAGAAGTATATTGTCATTCAGATGAACCAATTATCCAGTTACATGTATCTTTTTATTCTCAGAAGTTGCCATATCTAATCTAGAAAACTATAATCATTCAGCTACAACAAAACAACTGTTCTGTCTCACCAAATTTAGATTGTAGACATATTGTCTATTTATTATTTTCAAATTATTTCTCATGATAAAGATGAGAATAATGCAGCATGATATGAAATTTATAGTTGTCATCCAACTATAACAGCACCTGTTTTGAACTTTTGTATATAGTCATTTGTTTTAACATTGTTTGATGTATTCATGGTTAAGCTCATAGACACTGGTATATGATTGTATATATAGAGAGTTTTTTCTCCATTTTCCTCTTTACATAAGCACTTCATTTCACAGTGGCAGTGGCTGGGCAACTCTCTCAACCCATACTATGAGGGGATATCTTCGGACCAGTGCATAAGCGAGGACCGCTTTATCTTTCTCACCCTCAAGAACTGGGCCTTTGGGAAGGACAACACAGGTGACCTCATGGCTCGGAGTAACTTAGACGATATCCTGGAGCGCAGCAAAGCCTTGGGGTCTATTCACCTGGTGACGGCAGATGGCAGTGTTGACTGCCAGGCCAACCCTGGAGAGCAGGAGGAGACCACACATGTCCTGCATTTGTGTGAGGTCATAGCTGGCCTGTGTCTCTTGGTGGATGGAGGGACACTAGTCATCAAGAAGTTCACCTTCTTTGAGAGTGAATCAGTGTGCCTGATGTACCTACTGTGCTGTTTGTTCCAGGAGATACATGTGTACAAACCTGGGACTAGCAAACAGGGTAACTCTGAGGTGTATGTTGTGGCTCTGGGCTATATTGGAAGGGATGCATGCAAGGAACAGCTGGGCAAACTCATGGAGGTTTATGGTACCAGAGTCATGCTCCATACACTATATGCACGAGAGGACATTCCTGAGGCATTCATGAAGCAGATTTACATATGTTCAGAATTCTTTAAACGGCAACAGGAAAACAGCATTACCAGAAATCTCAGCCTGTTTCCTAATATGCATGAGAAAGAGAAGCAATATAACGAACTGCTGAAAGTCAAGGGGCAGAAGCTGTTCTTTGATCGTAACTACTGCACAACTATACCAAAGTGGATGACAATAACTGAGGGGAATGTCAACAGATCCAGACATATAATGGAAAATGACTGGAGCAAAATTGACAATGCCTCTTTAGTTAGAAACAATACTCTAAAGGAAAAATTCAAAATTGTTGTTAAATTCTTGGAAGAGTATATAGAGGATCACTCTTCACAAGGGGCAGACAATGTGACAAATTTAGCTGAAACAAAATTGTCATATTACTTTACCTCACCCCTGCTAGAGGAAATTGATTATAAAGTTTTAAAGGGCAAACCTTTCCACACAGTCAATTCAACTAAATTCTGTCCTCTTAGAGTGTTTAAGATATACAGGGAACTCTATGAAATGTGGCTAAACACAAACTCTTCCAAAAAAATTCTTGGGATTAATGACAGCCTTGTAGCCGAGGTACTTGAAAAGCATGACAAGGCACACATCATAAGAGAAGAGACAGCATTGGGTCCTCATTCAAGTTGTAGAGCATTAGAGCAAATTGTAATTCTTTTAGAGACGGGTGGTATTGCTGTGGGTGGATCTGTTATTCTTGTGGATGTACCACTGTTGTCCAGATTACAATGTGGACTCCTAATGGTTGTAGAGTGTGCCTTCACCAAAGTTCTCTTGTACACGCCAAAGGAGATAGGTTCACAGGCTCCTCTAATTGTCTTACAAGGGCTGAAGTCCATGGACATGTCAGAAGCTGTCATCCGTTCTTTATACCACACAGGCTGGAGTCCAGATGGAGGTTCGGGAGGTACTGGAGGTGCCTTGCAGATTGTGGCTTATCCTAGCCTTCTACAAGAGGATCAGTACAATGTCTTTTATCATTACAACATGTATTACTACATTCACTGTGCTCAGCTGTTGTGTCAGAATATTGATGTTGATTGAATAGATTCCAAAATGCATTGAAGAAAATTATGTATTTCAACAAGATATCACTAATCAATTTCTGTGATCTCTATCATATAACAGGGTATTTACCTCAACAAGCAAGAAAATTATAGTGTGTATTCATTGACCTATTTTTTTTTCTTTTTCACATTATTATAATTATAATAATATTTATTTTTTAAACTACATTATTTATTAGAAAGCAGTATGTCTGGAGTTATTTTTCTCATGTTGATGTGAATAATTTTAGCTAATGGTTTGAAAGGAAATATATTTTGAGATATTTGGGTTACATAGTTCCCTTGATTTTTACATTTCTTCCTGTTGTTAATTATATTATGTTTGTTTGTATTGAAAAAATAATTATTATTTGATAATATTTGGGTAATACCATTTTTAATTTTTCAGCATTTTTTGCCAGGTGAACAGAATTGAATTTCTTAGGCTCTATATGATTGTGTATTTGGTTAAAATGTATTTTTTTTTCCTTTTATGTGTGTGAATTTAAAAGTGTAATAAAACTTTCTACCTGTGCAAAGATATTTTCTTAAATCTGCTAATAATAAAAAAAAAGTTGAACTAATCTGGTATATATTTCCTTTATTTTGCTTAATTTCCACATCATGACTTTTTTCAAGTTCAGTTCTACTAAGTTCTTTAATCTGAATCAGATTCTACACTGTATAGAAAGACTACTATTCTTGTTTTCCATTGTAACAAAGTGTAATATTTTTGCATCATGAATTTCAAGTGAATTTTTTTTCTATGGTTGAGCTAGTAAGATATGCTTTTCCATATGATGGCCTATGAAACAAAATTAATGAAGAAATATTTACTTTTATTTATTTATATAATTATAAATGTGATCACCTTCATCTCTGTACAATATATACATATTTACAAAAGTAAAAAAGTATAACTAATACTGATGTGTACCTCTAGTATAGTAACCTTCTGGAAAGTATTCTAATTAACTTGAAGACCAAATTTCATATATAAATAAGATGCTTCCTTTAAACAAAATAATCCAGGGCTTCAATCTGACAAATAAGTACAAAAACAAAAGCAGACATGACATACACATCCATATTTTAAAGCTCCAAAGAAAAATAATTTAGCTGCCATAACAAAAAACAATTTTTTAACAATAATTGCATCCCCCCCCACCCCCCCCCAAAAAAAAAGAGAGCTCTTGTGAATTATCTGAACTCTCCTTTCAGTATCCACAACCCTTCTCCGCCTGCCTCCCTCTGGAAATCACAAATCTCCGTCAACAGAGCCTTGAAAAATGGTGTTTGTTCAGCAGGCAGCCTCTCTTGGAATCTATCTAAGATCTCCTGTGTAGAGGCTTTCCCATCAACTCTAGCTTGGAATGCAACAAAATTGCGAATGTCAGCGAGCAGGTCAATGTTTTCCTTGACCTCTGGGTCAGTGACCTCCTCTTCCACGGGTGCAGTAGAGGGGTAATCAGGGTCATAGCCATCACTGTCTTCTCCTTCTGATTCCATACCCATGCCCCTGTTCCTCTGCCGCATCCTTTGGAGGAGCTGCGATGAGGAGAGTGAGCTGCTCTTCCCTTGGCCAAAGCCCTTGCCTTTCTTGGAGGGCGTGATGGACATGGGCGTGCCAGTAATGCCGGTCTTTGCATCTGTTTCATCTTCCTCATCCTCTTCATCCATACCTCCATCAAACACATGTGGTTTCTTCTCCTTCTTCTTTTTCATGAATTTCAAGTGAATTTTTTTTATGGTTGAGCTAGTAAGATATGCTTTCCATATAATGGCCTATGAAACAAAATTAATGAAGAAATATTTACTTTTATTTATTTATATAATTATAAATGTGATCACCTTCATCTCTGTACAATATATACATATTTACAAAAGTAAAAAAGTATAACTAATACTGATGTGTACCTCTAGTATAGTAACCTTCTGGAAAGTATTCTAATTAACTTGAAGACCAAATTTCATATATAAATAAGATGCTTCCTTTAAACAAAATAATCCAGGGCTTCAATCTGACAAATAAGTACAAAAACAAAAGCAGACATGACATACACATCCATATTTTAAAGCTCCAAAGAAAAATAATTTAGCTGCCATAACAAAAAACAATTTTTTAACAATAATTGCATCCCCCCCCCCCCCCCCCCCAAAAAAAAAAGAGAGCTCTTGTGAATTATCTGAACTCTCCTTTCAGTATCCACAACCCTTCTCCGCCTGCCTCCCTCTGGAAATCACAAATCTCCGTCAACAGAGCCTTGAAAAATGGTGTTTGTTCAGCAGGCAGCCTCTCTTGGAATCTATCTAAGATCTCCTGTGTAGAGGCTTTCCCATCAACTCTAGCTTGGAATGCAACAAAATTGCGAATGTCAGCGAGCAGGTCAATGTTTTCCTTGACCTCTGGGTCAGTGACCTCCTCTTCCACGGGTGCAGTAGAGGGGTAATCAGGGTCATAGCCATCACTGTCTTCTCCTTCTGATTCCATACCCATGCCCCTGTTCCTCTGCCGCATCCTTTGGAGGAGCTGCGATGAGGAGAGTGAGCTGCTCTTCCCTTGGCCAAAGCCCTTGCCTTTCTTGGAGGGCGTGATGGACATGGGCGTGCCAGTAATGCCGGTCTTTGCATCTGTTTCATCTTCCTCATCCTCTTCATCCATACCTCCATCAAACACATGTGGTTTCTTCTCCTTCTTCTTTTCCTCTTTAGGTGGCTTAGTCTCACTATCAGTAGAAGAGAAGATGCTGCTCTTCTTAGTGCCAAATCTTGGCTTGCTCTTTGACTGCTGTTCAGAAGGCCCTGCTGGCAGCTGTGGCCTGAAGCATCTAGCACGAGATGCCCTTACAGCCTTGAGTGCCTCCTTGGCCACACGCTCAGCCTCACTCTCGACTAGGAGGTAGTCAGGGTCACCATTGCTCATGATGGCATCATGACTGAGAGCTGTGTGCACCCCAGATTTCTTAAACAGCTTCTCTAGTACATACTGGTCCTGTGACTTAGCACTTTCCCTTTCTGCCTGCTCTTCCTCCTCTGTCTTCTGATAAACCCTTTTCTTCACCAAGAAGTCAATCCTCTCCCCTTCAAACTTCTTCCCTTTTTTCTTTGATTTGTCTCTGCTTTTGTGCTTGTCCTTCTTTTCCTTCTTGTGTTTTCTCCTGTGTCTTTCATGATCCTTAGAATCATGTTTTCTGTCTGCATCCGTGGAATCTGAATGGCTTTCTCTCTTGCGATCCTTCCTCTTTTTGGCAAAATAATCACCGTTACCTGAGCTTCCTTGGGAACCTTCTCTGCTTTCTGAAGAGACACCATCATCAGAGTCTCTCTTCCTAATATCCTTTGGATCAATTTCCTTTTTAATATTGTCACTATGAGGATCTTCTTCCTTTATGTTGCTGTCTTCCTTTTCACCAGTTACACTTTCAACTTCCTCTTTTGTTTCAACTTCTTCAATGATGGCTTCTGGTTCTTGTTTTATTGTTGTTGCTTCAGTAGTTATTACTTGTGAATCTCTGTCAGACTCTTTTTTTGAGCAATTTTGGCTTTCATTTACATTCTCTGAACCACTAACAACTCCTTGATTATTTTCTATACTTTTGATTACATCTTTCTTTTCCTCTTTTATGCTAGTTTTCTGTCCAATCTTCTTGCTTAAAAGCTTGGCTAATTCTCTCATTCTTTCTACCTTATCATCAACTGGTTTATCCTTCTCCTTGGTGGGCATTTTGGGATTACTCTTACTGTTATCCTCCACTCTCTTCTGGTCCTTTGGCTCCTTCTGACTGTTCTTTCTCGAGTGAGATGGTTTGCTCTCTCTTTTTGATGGAGTTGGGGGAAGAGGAGGAGGAGGAGGCGGCAGCTTGTTTCCTCTCCTTTCTCCTTTTTTACTAGTCTCTTCATCATCATCATCTGATTTATCCCCATCATTTTTATCTTGTGTATTCACCTTAATCTCCGACCCTGTGCCAGCAAATATTGCTGACGACTCAGTCTTCTCCTTGATGCCTTCATTGAGTGAGAAGAGCTCATAGAGATCATTGGTCTTGAAGAAGCGCTGCTGCTTAGGGTCCTTGAGCACGCGGTTTGTCAGGAACTGCTTGAAAATCTGACGGTGGTAAATCTTCTCCTCAATGGTGCCAGCTGTTAAAAGCCTGCAAGAGAGGACAAACACTTCAGTGAAGAAATAAGAAAACCCATTTTTTTTTTTTGTTTTGTTTTTTGTTTTTTTTACCTTCTTTATCAATCTTCTAACCAATTTTGAACCCAATGGCACCAGGTACAACCACTATCCATTGTAGTTTCGTTGTTTTGTTTTGTAAATTTGGTTTACACACAGATGGCTCCACAAGTGCTCAGCCATCAGAGATCAATTAGTAGGCCCCAGAGGCCCTCATCTGATTTCACGATTCCTTGAATACTTAGCATTTTTTCCTTAACTAATGCTAATAATATCAATTATCTTTATCATCATCATTATTATTATGACTATTTTCATTATCATTATCATTATCATTATCATTATCATTATCATTATCATTATCATTATCATTATTATTATTATTATTATTATTATTATTATTATTATTATTATTATTATTATTATTATTGGCATTATGATCATAAAATAAAAACAAACACAAATAACAAATTTTAAAAATCTCCAAAAATCAACTAATTCCTTGGTGACAAAGTTCTTCTGGAGCCCTCTATGTGTAAACAAAATAAACCTAAAATCACAGTGGACATGACATGTACGTATATGCCATCCTGACAGCAGTGATTTAAACTTAAAATGTTTGAGCACAATATAGCATATATACGTGTTCCACGAACTTTATTAAGAATGTACCTATAAATTGTAACATGTCGAGTTTGCCCAATTCTCCAGGATCGTTCTCGCGCCTGGGAATCTGTTGAAGGGTTCCAATCTGGGTCAAAAATGATGACCCTGTCAGCTCCTGTCAAGTTGACCCCAAGGCCACCAACCCTCGTTGTGAGCAGGAACACAAAATATGAAGGATCGCTGTTATATTTGTCAATCATTACCTGACGTGAAGCCACTGCTGTTGTCCTGAAATATAAGTGTTTGTGATTTCTTATTTGTTCATGATACAAATTGTATATTTAATATTAGTAAAAATGGACAGTAGGATTAAAAGAAAAAATACTATAACATGACAAAATATTTGGCATTCTTCACCCAAAATATACAAAATATTCCTTGCTGAAATGAAAATAAAATAAAAAAAATTGTAAGTTATAAGAAAATGCATTCAAACCTTTCAGTAATCAATCACCCAAACCTCACTAAATGTCTGATCTCCCATCCAACGAATATCTTTGAAAGCATGATTCTTACCCATCCATCTTGAGATACGTGTGATGCTCATCCATGAGGAACTTCTCGAGGATGCACATCATCTGCCTTGACTGAGTGAAGAGGAGGACGCGGTGCCCTTGTTTGGCCCACAGCTTCAGAATGGATTGCAAGACATGCATTTTTCCAGAACGGCCCCACCAGCCGTACTGGAGCTCAGGCTGTGTTAAGAGAGGAAGAAGAATATTTGAACACTTGCTCATACTAAACTATACATCTTTACAACATGAGTTATATCAACTGCTTAAACTTGACAAAGAGAAAGAAAAGTACACACTAAAGAAAATAAAATGGAAATAAAAGGAAATGGGAGCTAGCATTACCTGTAGCCCAGAGACAAACTGATCGTCATAATTACGAGGTCCTCCTGTTTGCAGATCTGGGTGGTTGCATATCTTTCGTAGTGCTATCAAACCAACAAATACCTGTAATTGCACAAAGGAAAACAGTGAACTTAATCTGTTAAAAGGAAGTCTAGCGGATATTTACAATACTTCTTGAATTTGAATTTATGCTTGTAATATAGAAATGTGAGCTAAACATTTCTGAATATTGTAACTTTATTTATTTATTTTATTCATATCTTGACAGATTACTTAATGAACAAAATCAAAATTAAATAGGAAATATGAACTGTCAACAGCAATACTTAAATAGTTCAACAAATACTACCATACTCATGAATTATAAGACTGTCCATAAAAATGGGAAATACAGACAGCAAGTCTATAACTATAACCTACCTTCATTCTCCCTCCTAAGATGCACTTTACTTGGTCCCCATCAATGTACGAGCGATAGACTTGTCTTTGGGCCTCGGTTAGATCACAGAAGAGCACCTTTTAAAAAAGTAAGGATTAGTTTACATGTAGCTGTATTTTTGCTTAAATCATACTTGACATGACTCCTAAATTTAAAAATATGGCATTATTATATAGTGCTATCCTTCTGGAACAGTGCAGTGTTGTTTTGCTGCTGCCTTGATTGAGATATAGCTTTTTGCTGAGTAAGGGTCGGTAAAAAGTACACTTGGGGCAGACTGACAATCTTAAAAATCATACTTACCCTATAATGTAAACCACCAAAACCTCATAAATATGGTATTCCTACTAAGTACTTTTCTTTTGAAATTCTGTGGCACAAATTTGATTTCATAATGTGTCTTGGTCAAGAAGCAGTAGCTTGATTTAATTACAAATTACAAAGACACTAGACAAAATAATCACTATATTTTCAACCAACTTCTACACTAATTATGCAAATCTTATAAACATAGTAATGAGTGAGAAACAGTAGCTTGTTGAGTAAAGGAAGATGAAAACTATGCCCTCACCTTATCACTGAAACC